TGCAGATCTATCATTGGTAGATAGTTCTCCACAGGATCATGGGTAATGCAGTTTTTGCACCGTTAAATGTGATTGTTTTTAAAATGAAGATGAAATAACGCAGGCTGAAGTGTATATCATTGATAAACAATGTAAGTTCACGTGAAACTGAACAGGAATTCCAAATCATGGCTAAAATATAAACATTTAAAAAGTGTCTGTAGTAAAATGATTTATTCAAACATACACTGGATAATGACGACAACAGTTTGAGTAAATGTTTAAGGAATATGTAATCGGTCAATGAGTTTGGCACTCCAAAACTATTTTAGTAGAAACTGAAAATTCATTTTCGGCAGAATATTTCTGGTTGCTGATATTTCGGTGCATCACTAGGACAAACCAAACCAAAAGATACTAAAATGCATCCAAAACACAAGAAAAGGGCGAAGAAAGAAAGAACAAAAAAGACAAATTACATAAAAGAAAGAAATTAAATTAATTAAATATTAGAAAGAAAAATAAAATAAGAAAGAACACAAAAAATTGATAAATTTAATAAAAGAAAGAAATTAAACGTAGAAAGAAAAATAAAGGAAGAAAGAAAAAGATAAATAAAATAAACAGAAAGAAAAAAGAAAGAACAAAAAAGACAAAGTAAATAAAAGAAAGAAATTAAATAGAAAGAAAAAAATATAAAAACATAAATATATAATATAAATATTACAAAGAAAGAAATACAACAAAAATGAAAAATGTAAGAAATGAAATAAAATTCATTAAATATAAAGAAAAATAAAATAAGAAAGAAAGAAAACAAAAATGAAAAATTAAAGAAAGAAATTAGATTAAATATAAGAAAGAAAAATAAAAGGAAGAAAGAAAAAGAAAGATAAATAAAGTAAAAATAAACAAAGAAAGAACAAAAAATAAATAAATAAATTAATTAATTAAATATAGAAAGAAAAATAAAATAAGAAAAAACAAAAACGAAAAATTAAAGAAATTAAATAAAATTAATTAAATATAAGAAAAAGTAAATAAATAAAAGAAAAATAAAGGAAGAAAGAAAAAGAAAGATAAATAAAGTAAAAAGAAAGAAAGAAAAGAAAATCACAAATAAAAATATACAAAGAAGGAAAATTAGAAAGAAACAAGAAACAAATCTTTGCAAACGGTTCAGAAACAGGAACGATGTTTATAATAAACCTGCATTTGTTGCATATCCATGTCTTAAATGAACTCTGCACGTCGCCCAGTCATTTAAAAGCCTTGATTTGTTCAGTTTGCGGCAATTAAAGCGGCATGAAATTAACAAATTAATCTGGATAGATGACATACGGCTCACTAGAACACATAATTCTTCATTCAGAAATAAACTGCTGATAAAAAAGTCAAAACAGCTTAATTTCTGGAACGGTGAGAGATGCAAGTCAAATGTACATTAGATAAAGAAATATTAATATATATATAAACAGAATTAATAAAACTACTCACACTACTTTAACTGTTGCCCTTGTGTGTATGGGTTAAGCGAAAATGTGATTTGATTTGCAAATGAAAAATGAATTATTTTTAAAAATAATTCAACACAAATAAATCCTACAATAGTATAAACTGAGTAAATACTGACCATTTTTATTTTGCGTGAACTAATTTTTTTGTGTGTATTTATTCTATTTTAATCTATCGTATTTTATTATATATTATTATTTTTATTAACATTAGTCATATTACTACTTTTAAAAAATTTCATTGTATTTTGTTTGTCTATGCAAAACAAAGTCAAAAGTAGTACTTTATTTCAATTTATTAGATTTTTTAATTTTATTTATTGTGCACATTTATTCCATTTTAATCTATTGTATTTTATATTATTGATTATAATGTTATTAACATCACTGTCATGTTACTACTTTAAAACTGTGCAACTGTATTTTGTTTGTGTATGCAAGACAAAAATGTCAAAAGTTGTACTTTACTATTTAAAATTGTTTTGTTTTATTTTATTTAAAATAAAACAAAAAGATAATTAAATAAGTGAAATAAAAAAAACAAACAAAGAAAGAAAAGTAAAGTAAAATCAATTAAAAAATACAAATAAAATTCAATAAATAGAAAGAAAATAAAAATAAAACAAAAAGACAGCGAAAAAAATTAAAAAAGTCAAATAAATAAAATTGGATAAAAGAAAGAAAGAAAGAAAAAGAAAAGTAAAAAAAAATTTACAAAATAAAATAAATTCAATAAATAGATGAAAGAAAGCGAAAGAAAAAAGTCGAATAAATAAAATTAGATGAAAGAAAGTAAGAAAGTAGTAAATAAAAATGAACAATGAAAAAGAAAAAGAAAATATAAATAAAAGAAAGAAAAATATAAATAATTAAAAATGAACAAATAAAGAAATAATAGAAAGAAAGATAGAAAGAAACAGTAGGATAAAGAAAGAGAAAATTAAACAAGCACATAAAAATGAACAAATAAAGTAAATTAAAGAAAAATACAATTAAATAGAGGAAAGAAACAAAGAAAAAAGAAAGAAAGTTAAAGTTAAGAATAAATAAAAATGAACAAATAAAGAAAATTAAAGAAAGAAATACAAACAAAAGAAATAAAGAACAAAAAGAGAAACAACTAGCACTGTAGTTCCTCCTCTCTCAGATCTTTATAAAATTAAACGGGCTATTTCTGTGACTGTACCTTTAAGACTTCCATATTTAAATGAGCTCTGACTACTGAATAAGTGAGTGATCAATGAATGTGGGCGGTCGTATGTTAATGTGCTCACGGTCGTGACGCCATAACCATGACGATTTCGGAATACTGGGCCGGTTACCATGACAACCACTGTTGACCACCATGACAACCACAACTGTTTCAAAACAGAGTGACAACAAAATCACCCAAATATTTAATGAGGGAAATGCCTCGTCAATTTCACTAAACAGTAAATGAATCAGTTGATCCACAGTGAAGATTCCCACTTCAAGAAGTCACACACACACTCGCACACACACACACACACACACACACATACACACACTCTCTCACACACACACACACACACACTCTTCTCTCTCACACACACACACACACACACTCTTCTCTCTCACACACACACACACACACACTCTTCTCTCTCACACACACACACACACACACTCTTCTCTCTCACACACACACACACACACACTCTTCTCTCTCACACACACACACACACACACTCTTCTCTCTCACACACACACACACACACACTCTTCTCTCTCACACACACACACACACACACTCTTCTCTCTCACACACACACACACACACACTCTTCTCTCTCACACACACACACACACACACTCTTCTCTCTCACACACACACACACACACACTCTTCTCTCTCACACACACACACACACACACTCTTCTCTCTCACACACACACACACACACACTCTTCTCTCTCACACACACACACACACACACTCTTCTCTCTCACACACACACACACACACACTCTTCTCTCTCACACACACACACACACACACTCTTCTCTCTCACACACACACACACACACACTCTTCTCTCTCACACACACACACACACACACGGATTTACTGCTTCCTGTCTCCATACGTACCGTAATCAGCCGGGCTTGTGCCGGGATAGAAACCAGGAGAACCGGCCACCTGATACTGCTGAGGGGTCACGTATGAGGGACGGTACTGACAGAGAGAGAGAGAGAGAGAGAGAGAGACTGACTGATCAAAAACACACACAGGCACCATCTGACAATCCCATTTCAGGCCATTTTTCTCTGCGGCCTACAATCCTCCCCCTTCTTTAGAGTTGCACAATTAGGAACGGTACAGACGGTCAGCTGACCGGGACAGAGTTTAGAAAGGGGAGGAGTCAGCAGAATCAATACACTGAGTGAGTGTGTGTGTGTGAGAGAGAGAGAGTGTGTGTGTGTGTATGTGTGTGAGAGAGTGTGTGTGTGTGTGTGAGTGAGTGTGTGTGAGTGTGTGTGTGTTGTAGGCAGAACGTCCTGCGCAGGGTTATTATCGTTAACTAAAACTGAAACTAAACCCAAATAAAATAACATTTCCGTTGCGTGAAATAAAATAAATATCAACTGAAATAAAACATAAAAACTTAAACTTATTTTATTTAAGCTAGCTGCCAAGGAAACATCTCATTTCCATTCAGTTTAAATTTTTATACTAAAATAACTACAAATATAAAATATACTACTATAACTCTAAACTATAAAACTACAAATATAAACAATATAAGCATAAAAAATGATAAACTTGACAAAAACACAAAAAAATTTAAAATAAAAATAAAAAAAGAGAAAATATGAAAATATAAAAATCTTATTTAAAATATTAATAAAAACTATAAGCGAGACTAAAATAAGACTGGTGCTTTCTTGTTAAAACATGATCAGTTCTGATCCCAATTCCATAAATTGGATTCTGTGTTAAAATAAACATTTTAAAATAAGCACATAAATGGATATTCAGACATGCACAGCCGCATAATGTCAAGATGATTTGAGATCAATAAAGTAGGATGGATTTTTTTATTTTATTTATAAATTATTTGCACAGACCATCTAGATTATTATAATTGGTTTCCATTTAAGATGATTATAGAAATCATCTTAATAAATTAGATCTCTAAATCATCAGTACATCAGTGTTATTTTAGTATCATTGATTTACTATCAGTTTTGTTAAATACAATTTTTTAAATAAGATTTATTACTATTATTTTAATTTATTTTCTGTATTAATTGTAATTTTAGTTAAAGTTTATTATTATTTAGTTATGTATTATTATTATTATTATATTAATATATTTCTCCCTTACATAACTAACTGTAATTAGCTACACTGTGTTAGCATTAAGGATAATTAATAATTTTTGACTATTTTAACTACTTTAAATTAAAAGCAGTTTGGCAAGTTTCAAAGTAGCGTCACTAACTGCCCCATGGGATTTGTTATGCAA